TTCCACACAGCTACTAAGTCCTGATAGCCACTTGCTTGTGCAATCTGTTGAAGTTTAAATCCATTGCTAGCCACTATCCATCTTTGCTTACAATCCTTGTAAATTAGGGTTATATCGAGGCGATACTCACAGGATTCACAAATGCCAATTAGAGACTGACCAGTTACAGTCCGAAACATAAATCAGAAGATTCAAACAAACAGTACTCAGTAAATTTAAACATATTCTTCGTTTTTGGAAATAATAATAAATAAGTAAGGAACATACTAATAGATTCATAATGTATAACATGCATTGTATTACTGTTGTGTTTCTTTTTGCTTTTACTACGGACCAATGAATGCTGGTGAGTAGCTTATGCTCCTTCATGAGGGATAACAGCTGTAAGTAACAGCTCAATGAATTATAATATGAAAGACATTTATAAACTAGATGGTTAACATTAGTTAAACGAAATCTATGAACCTATATAAAATCTTACGTTAAATAAAGAAAAGAATCTGTATTACTTTAAGTGTTCAATCATCATGGTTTCGAAATTAATCGTGGACATTGTGGAATAGTATTTTCAAAAAAAATCGTCGTTTCTTTTATCATGTATGAGCTACAAATATGAGGGACAAATTATACTGAAAGGTTTGATCAGGATTTATATCAACTTATATGAATTTTGTAAAAGGTTAACTTGTTACTTTAGTCTGATATATTCATTTTTCCCCATTTAATAATGGTATCCGAGTGAAGAACCAACTGTAACTATATATTAACTTAACAGATGTTTCATCAGTTCATATAATAATCAAACCGTGTTAAATTTAAATAAAAGGATTTATACGTTCGAAAAACCTATCTATTCTCGAAAACTTTCTTTTGTATTTACTAGAAACTCAATAATTTAAAACTGTAGTTATCAAATCGAAATTATGCTGAGTGATAATTTACAAAATAGTAAAATCCTTTTTTTTTCTATGTTCTGTGAATATATTTATTACAATGAATTTACACTTGAACATCGATTTCTGTATGGATTGTAATACTTTGTGAATATCATTTATACGCTCACATACTTTTTGATCAATATATTTCTCTATGTTTATGTTACAACTTACCAAACTAGCCAGTTTTGTTCTTTAAAAATGAGTTTGTTTAGTTTACTAATTGGAACCACTGATTTTCATGGTATCGATCACACTTAACTAGCACCAAGTATAAACTTTTTATTCTCCATAATAGATTAGATGAATTAGGTTCCCGAATGTAGGCGAGCAATTACTTTTTCATTCCCATATGATGGTTTCCTTTACGCTGCGATTGTTGATTATGTACATTTCAATGGAGTTTATAGAAATCACTTATTAGTTACTTTTTAGGCGTTTTTCAATCAGCCAAGAAACAATAATGTATGTATTACTTTTTTGACTATAATATCGCAAACATTATTTCCTACTTAAAATGTCCTAAAATACCATATAAGACTAATAATTATTACACTTTACAAAATTTTAATCTTGCTCAATTAAAATTTAAATTCCGTTGAAATATTCGAAATGGTAGTTCAATTAAAAACTATGTCACTCTGTTATGATTGACTTAAGTAAAACTTTATGAGCCCTCTGATGCTTTATTCAGTATTACTTATCTAGTAAATGATAAGAATTAAATTCCAATAACCAAAAATCTATATTTAAACTATCAAGATCAAAATCAATTCACTATACACATACGATTGAGAAATAATAGTTCTATACTTATAATTGGCAACACGTACCATACCATTAGTTAGTCTCATAAAAAACGACTAATCTATTTTTTCTTCATCTATATGATTTTTTTTAAAAAAACGTACTTGTATCTACTTACTGAATTATTAGCAAAACGTTTTTATAGGCATAGATTATATATCATTTTCCTAAACATAGTTTGAATTCTTTTTTACTGCGTACTTACTATAAGCAGTTACCTCCATCATTGTAATACATAAATAGAATTATGTGGAGGTGTGTTAAATGATCAATTTTTAATAAATGAGAAAAAATTAAAGCTGAGAAATAAATACTGAACTATTTTCTAATCAGTCATATTGATAACGAAGTTCTCGCGAGACCGGTTAAATCTAACCTCCAATTCTGAATAGAAGACTAAGAAAAAAAGGGTGTTCTCTGAAGAAGTGGCTTGCACTAAATTGCGAAACATCAGAAATACAACTTTCTACGCGTTGGAATATTACAAAATTATGTTTATCATTAAGTTTCAACTTATTTCATAACTTATTTGAAACTATCAAGTCCAACCTTAGCATCGATACCTATTAACTTAAGCTTTTCTTAATTCCTTTATTGTGTTGATCAAAACTGAATTCATTAAATATTAAAAATTTACATCAAAGATGACAAAAATGGGAATACATTTGAAATAGAAAATTTGGTATGGTATTGTTCATTGGTTCATATTAGAGAACCATAAATAGCCTTTTTGTATTACTTTGATTTATATAACGTTTTTCTTCATTACAATAGTGTTGTTTATAAATATTTTCTAGAAAACTGATTTTTTACCTAATTCAATATGTTTCAGTCATAATCCATTATGTTCATGATTTTTTGCCATTGTCTATAAACAAAGAGGGTAATCAATTCAGGGAAATGAGAATGATAAAAATTATGATGAACTAGCTTGAAATTTTTATTAAGTCACAATTCAGGTTTAATACACAGTTAAGAAGAAAAGTTATCTATAGCCAAACAAACAATGTGAAGGAAAGCCATATAACTGACCTTAGATGAGACATAAGGTTCTGTGTTGAAGCTATCAGGATGATATTTGCAGGTGGATAGGAGCCGTTATCATCAAAAATAATTGTCAATAAGTCTAAAAATAGTTAGGTGTTATGTTAAAACTATGCTGATAATCCCTAATGTATGTTTATTCAAAGAAGTATTTTGGAAATATGATATGAGTTTTGTAATAAAAAAGCCATTTCTCTCTTATATAACGGCTTATTTACCGAATTAACCTTTGTTCATTTCTAATACAAAACATCATGATATTCAATTTTTTGATCAAACTAATCGAAATATTTTGCTTAAACAGACTGTATTACATATATCAAGTTGATCTTTGCATTACATTCTGTTTCAATTTGTAAAGGATAAAGTAACTAATTCAAAATTGATTGTACTTCCAAAACGTTTTAAAACGGAAAAGTTAGCTGTTAAATATTGTCAATTAATACCTACTGACCTGATCACAATAGTCTAATTATTCTAGAATTTAACGTAACGTTGTTGAAGCATCATTGTAAAAACGGACAAAACTGATGATTCGCTGACTGTTTCTGTACATTTTGTTTGCTGATTATTAAATAAAGTCATTATATATGACCTAAGTAAATCTCACTATCTATCTAAGTTTACTTTATACAATAGATGTCATATTTTTAGGGTTAAAACAAACAAAAGTCTATTAGTTTTGTATGATAAATCTTAGGTTATAAGAAGTTATTGTGTTTACTTATTATAAATATTTCTTTTTTGAACGAATTTAAAATAATCTATGTTTAGGTTAACTTAACCACAATTAGGAGAAACAATTATTTTTAATGCAAATTTAGTTTATTTTTCCTATGAGTTAATCATCAGATAACGGTTGATTACCTAATGGCACTTAGCATCATGTATATCAAGTCTTTAGTTCTGAATGTATCAAACTGATCTAAGAGCAATGTAACCACTATCTAAGTGGTTTAGTTATGGATTAACAATGTTTTTATGTCAAACGGCTGTAAATATTTTTGTGTTGCCTAACTAGTCGCATGTGGACTATATATGTCAATGCGTGAATTATAATATTGAATATGACAATATATAATGTTGACAAAATATTAATACTTCCGAATATCTGACATATACAACGAAGATTTATCAACAATAATAAAGTAAAAATTCAACTTTCTCTTAATTTGTTCTTAAACATCAAAGTGCCATACAAAATAGCTTGTCCCTTAAGCCTTTGTACTCGACAAACATTTGACTACGATACATATTTATTCTTTAAAGAAGTCCCACTTAATATACAACTCATTTATTTATTTCCAAAACGTAATTAGTATTCTATGATTTTCTGATATTATCACATTTTAATATTTGACTTGTAACAAGAGTATTATGCTACAGTGCTAGAAATAATGACAGGTAGTTGACCACACATGTTTAAGTGTAACAAGCTTCTTGTTGATAATAACTAGTCCAGTTAACTAGTTTCTTATTTTATATTACTAATAGATACACCTATAAATGACTTGAATTATATTAAGCTTGTACCTACTGTTGATGAATAAAATTACGTTTTCTTCAATCGTCCAACTGTTTACGGGTTATATTTGATAGAGTGATTCAAATGTAAATCGACTCGATAATCTAAAGCTATTGTGTTCACTATACAGCCAGAATATCCTGACTCCGATTCTGGATCAAATAACAGATTTTTTAATCAAACCAAAACGAAATAGCAATTTGATCAAGATATTGAATTTTCAGAAGGGGTTTTGTGGAGATTTCAGTATTTTCGTAGTTGAAAGCGTGAGTCAATTGAAGCTAGAGCACCATCGAAAACCTGGAAACACTGGACGGCCGTTTCGTCCTATTATGGGACTCCTCAGCAGTGCGCATCCACGATCCTGCACTGCGAGATTCGAATCCAGGACCTACCAGTCTCGAGCTCTCAACTGATAGACCACTGCTGAGGAGTGCCATTATAGGACGAAACGGCCGTCCAGTGCTTCCAGGTTTTCCATGGCGGTCTAGCTTCAATTGACTCACGCTTCCAAATATTGATTTTCGTTTTTCATAAATGATATTAGCCCATGAAATCATTTTCATCAGTATGGTTAAAAGAAAATATCAATCATAACAAAATGTAATCGTTTGAAATTCATTTTGTACATGAATAAAATGATTAATAAATATAAGATATAATTAACAATTATTCTTTATTTTACTTACCTGTTGAATTTGTTGCCTCTTGTGATTTATCATAATCATTTAATGGTTGAGTATTAATTGAAATTTGTGATAATGAATTTGGTAATTTGTTTTTTGAAACAGTTTCAACTTCATTCACTTTTGAATATTCAAAAAGTGTTTCATCTTCTTTATTAGTATCTAATTGAGAATCATCAACATTTTTCATTAATTTATCTTCTTGTTGTTGTTGTTGTTCTGTTGTCATTGTTAATGTTTGTGATACTTGTGTCGGCGATAATCTATAATATTTTTTTTGTGGAAAAAGAATTTTAGGCATAACATGAATATTCATCTTTTTTTCCTTCAAAATATGATAAATAGTTAAAATAATAGATCAGTATTGTTCTACGATTTCATGTTTACTAAATGCTATTTTAATTGTTTATTCAATATTGCTATAGTACTAATAACTTCATTCAAACTTTATTATTCAAATAGTCTTCATCAATATTACAATTTGATCATTTTACTTCTGTTCTAATAGATGTATAGATTTTATATTCCATTAGTTGAATAAATCATTTAGAAAATTAAAACCATTCGAGTATTGTGCCTTTTGCTTTAAAGAGAATGATAAATCGATTTCATATATACTTGATGATATCCAATAGAATGTTAGAGAATTAAACACTGTTTTATTCTTAGTCTGATCGGTCAAATACGGTCATGTTTTATACTCTTTATCTATCTATCTATCTATCTATCTATATATATATACAAGTCGGTGGGTTATTTCATATGCAAATTAGTTAAAAATAGCTTAGAGTTAAATTTTGATTGTATCTGTGTTCAATATATTTGCTAGTTATTCTACTTTTTTTTGTTCAGTTATTATATTGAATCAGTTAAATGAGATCATAAATAGATTTATTGAACACCTATGAATTGTTCTTATTTGACAATATTGAACATTTAACTTCATGAACACATTACTTAAATTTGAAATATTTGTGCAGAATATTAAAGAAAAAACTATATATATATGAAGAGATTGTTTAAGAAGAAAACATCTTCCTCATAATGATTCTATAAAGTATTTGACACTGAATTAACCATTTGACAAATTGTTTCCACAGAACAATATCATACTTATAAATAGTACTGATGTCATGTAGTAAATTAAAGTAAATAGGACATAGCGTAGGTAAATATTAGGCATAATAATTTATTAATATAAAGCTCATTTCATAATTTCAGATTGTTTTCTTAAACTCAAATAGTTTTTTACGCAAAATAATGGAATTTTTACGTAATTTACATAAAATAAATGCTAAATATATGAGTTGATAAACTTTCATACAATAGTTTGTTTGTCTTTATAGTACCCTTAAGTCATTAGTTACCAACGGAATGATTAAAATGGAATCCTAATTTTTTTACATTAAGATACATTAATATAATAAATCGAAAATAAGCTCTCAACAATTGTTAATTAATTAATTATTGAATGGATCGATGATCATCAAAGAATATACAGAAACCATCTGGTAATAGATAATGCCATGTAGTCGATATTTTAGAGATGTCCTAAATTATAGGTCAATTATCAATTAACACACCACATTTAGCAATTATACATTGTGTAGTGTCTTATTTCAGATCTTAATTGGTTTGAAACAAACTGCAGGAACCTATGATTTCATATATCAAACTAAATGACACCTCTACAGGACATATCTGTGATTTGAAGTACTTTAATGCACCCAACCGAATTTAACACCATTTCATTGAGCATTAAAATATTATGCGTTGACAAACTGGGATTGACTTCCAATATATAAGTGAATGTCCGAGTTCATGAGTTAACGTCAACTCTGAGATGCAGCTTCATCCAACTGACTAGTTTTAAATAGGAAGGAACGCACGACTTTGATTCCACTGTTAGCCACTATTCAGCTCTACTCAGTGCCCTTGTGGCTTAATGGCAATGCCAAAACAAATCTCACGACCTGCAAATATGCCATAAAAGACTGGTCGTTTTCAGTTCAAAACATCACTACAAAAATCAAAACAACCAATACTTAGAATCAAAAATTATCTCATTGCACAAGCCAGTGTCTATCTGGACTCAGTAGCTAAGAGGGTAACGCTACTATATACATTCAATTTGTGAGTCCCAAAAAGGATGAAATGCGCGGCCCTAGTTTTTGATAGAATGTTGATTTAGCAGCCATTTGAATGCCGTTTCAATGACAGGTCCAACTTTGATAAAATACAGTTATCAACTCTGTCTGTTTAATATAACTTATAATTTTATGAAACATTCGTTAGTATCCGTCCTGTATCTCATTATATCTTAGAATTTGTCATTATATAATAATCATAATCATAAGTAAATCTAAGCTTCACAGCCGTTAAGAGCCTGGGAGAACTGGACGACTGGTTCGCCCTAGCGCGAGCCTCCTCACTGGTGCGCATCTAGGATCCCGCACTCAGAACTGTAACCCAGGATCTTAGGTCTTGCGCACGAACGTCTAACATCTAGGCCACTGAGCCAGTATCTAACAATGGCAATGTCTAATTTCAAACTATCCATGACCTTTGTCAACCCATCATCTGTTGTTTGATGTGGATAACTCTCTCAAACTCTACTCGGATATATATATCAAATGAATATAAACTAAGAAATAATCTAAATCTGTTTGCTTCAATAAATCTTCCCACTGTTTAAATATTGTGAAGTACCGTTTTATTATTCAGTCGTTATGAAAAGATAACATCGCACGAGTTCATTAATGACATAAGTGAACGTTTTTCAATTTTATTTTATTATTATTTCACCTAAGCACTAACTAATTTCTATTTATGTGACAAAAGTTTATTAAGAACATACTGTCCCTTGAAACATTGCATGTAACTGGAAAATCTTTTTTATATTCTCAACAATATGAATGGCAGCAATGTTCAACAATGTCTTTGATAACCCTTATATATAATTTAGCAATCAAATGAATTTCAAAGGTATAATTACCTAGTTTAGCAAGTTATTATTATTCAATGATATTTCATTTGTAAGCTAATAGAATATATTTAGAAGAATAAGTAAACTAGAAATATTCCATAAAGAGAATATATTCTACATTTTCATATTCATTTTGAAAATGATATTTGTTAAATGCAATTACTATCTCATTAAAACAAACGAGAGATTCATGTGAATTCAATTAAATAGTTGATAACTTGAAAATTTCAATTCAGTAACATGTGATAATTTGATTATCACAAATATTATACAAAACGATTTTTTTTAAAAACCCCGTAAAATGTAACAAAAATTCGAATTTATAAGTTGAGGAACAGAAAATCAATGAATTATGGTTAGTTTACTATAAGTGATCCTATTTGAACACAAAATGATTATAATTACACATTATAAGAGAAAGTGAGTGATTGATAAATATAAAGTTATACTTGTAAGCAAAGATGGATAGTGGCTAGCAGTGGAATCCAGGACGCGCGTTTCGTCCTTCACCCATTGCACAATCAAGTGACTATCAGGACTCAGTAGCTAAGTAGATAACGCGATGGCGTTTGAAGCGAAAAAGGTACTGGGTTCGAGTACCACAGTGAAAATCAACTCTGAGATGCGGGTACATCCAAATGGGACGAAACGCGCATCCTGGATTCCACTGCTAGCCACTATCCATCTTTGCTTACAATGCTTGTGAGTTAGGGCTATATCGAGACAATACGCACAGTATGCACATAGGCCAATAAGAGACTGACCAGTTGCAATCCTAAGCATCAATGGGAAGATTCAAACAAGTAATACTAAGTGAATATAATGTTATACTATATTTTATGGTTGAAATCATGAGTCATTTGAAGCTAGACCACCATGGAAATCCTGGAGGCACTGGACGGCTGTCTCCTCCTATTTTGTGACTCCTCAGCAGTGCGCATCCAGAATCTCGCGTTGCAAGATTCGAATCCAGGATCTGTCAGTCTTTCAGGTTTTCTATGGTGGTCTAACTTCAATTTACTCATGATTACAACCATAAAATTACCGAAATATCCACAAAACCCACTTTTGAAAATAGATTATATGAAAAAAGATCCCTTTGCTGAACTTTATGTTTAGAATGTTTAGGTGGGAATCGTATATATATTAATTTCCTTATTTAGTAACTAATTTAAAAATTTGAAGCAATTAGTTCCTGTGATAAACTTCGATAATGTAATTCGAAGACGAAGTCTATCAGAACTGTGTTATAACACCGATCTACTGAAGTTAACTTCAGTTTTTTTTTAATATACTGGTCAGATCATTGCCAGATTTTGATGAGTTCATTGTACTGAAAGCTTAACGTGATGGCTTCTATAATCACTGACAATATAACTGTAAATTATAGTGGAAGAAAAATAGTTGTAGGAAAATTTACTTTTAAGGGTAAATATCTTACAGAAAGTTAAATATAACTAAGTGATTATCAGTAAAAATCACACTCCTATAAACTTTGAAAAAGTTTAAAAATTATACTAAGGCTTTAAACATTTATTAAATTGAATTAAGAAGAGCATAGCTAATTGATGTGTAGGTTTTTAGCAGCTAAAGACATACACCATTGTTAGGAAATGCTGAGGTCAACAAATGCTTGGTCTTAGGTATCTAATTTTTTTCAGTCTTCATTAGATTATCTATGTGTCAATCTACTTATTTTGATGCAAGTCCTGGTACATATAATCAGCACTAAGATACAGGTACATCAGGTTAACGAGTATCAAACAGAATTAAACTGGCTTTCTGAACTTCGTTTCTGGCCACATTTATTTTGAATAAATCTTATTATTATGGCTATATTAAGGTAATTCGTTCAGACTGCATAAATGAAAACAAAGGCCAATCAGAATTCGGTTTCTTATATCAAGAAGTAGGATACATTAAATACTTCTTAGTAGCAATTTCAATATTTTACTCATTGAAAAAGTTAATAGTTATTTCAACTCAGTATTCCTGAACATAATTTTCTGAGGATTTGAGAATAAAGTTACGGGATATTAGTCCTGTTATGAAAATCAACAGAGATGCAAGTACATCTAGCTAATGAGTCTAACTAAGGATAAAACTCACTTCCTGGATTTAAATGTTAGCCAACGCTCATTCCTCCTGCATTATAGATATCTCTTGACATGCTAAACGTAAGATTCGAATGTTGATAATCAAGCACTTTCTCAAAAAATATCAAGTAATAATAAAGTATTATGTAAACTAAAGCATGTGGATATCCTGAATTACTCAAGCGGAAGGGATAATAATTGTCACATTTATACAAGAAACAAAATGGATATAAAGTATAAGACAACTGATAAGGATATCCATGTACAAACGTAAGTCATTTAAATCAAACAATGTCTAAAATTCTCTGTTTACTAGAACATCATTGTCTAACAAATTTGTCCACTTTTTGACTAGCTGGTACATTCGTCATTACGTATAAAACAATTCTTTTTTAATCCATTTGATCGCTCAGTAAAATCTATAATAACACATAAAAATGTTAAAAAAAAACAATACTGTATACGAGTTAGCTTCCATAAGAGCGCAGCTAGATATTCCATTTAGGACTAGTAGAGTCAACTCAACAACGAAACTTTTATACAGTATATACATTAAACGACACAAACCTGCTTGCAAGAAGCTATACCCGATGTTTCTTAAAATATTATATAAAACCAGTTGTACAG